TTTTTTTCCCGATTATTTACGGGATTTTACATCATTAAAATGCACGCCGTAGTTCTAGAATCCCAGAAACAAATCAAAAATTAAAATCTAAAATGCTAGTTCAGATGGCAGTACTCGAGTAGCTCCACTGTTCACGAAATGACGTTGAGAAAGGCTTTCTGTAGATGCACGCAGGAAGAAGTGAATTTTGGAATTTATGTTTTCCCGATAAATTTATTGCTTTTTTTGCATCCAACTCCGTATATCGTTATGTCGAATTATATATCGACTACTGTGAGTGCAGAAAACAGGGCTTGTCTCGAAATTCGAAAAAAGTATTCGTCCGGAATGTTTGCCCGTAGTTAGTGAATGAGTTTCAGGCAGCTGCCCAAAACGTATCAAAATAATCCCAGAGTGGCATTTGATTAGCATCGGCGAAAGGCATGCACGCTCAGACAAGCATGTCATGTATGCTCAAATAAGCATGCACGCTCAAATAAACAAACGTTTCTTAGGTACCATAATTTTAACGTGCCTATTGCAGTTTACCACTGTTGCAATAACTTTTGGCTAAATTGAAATTCATTAACAGTGGCGGCAATATTCTGCTTTTCCATAACTTTTTAAAATTCAACGGAAGGACCATGCCCACTTCTTCACTGTCACTGTGCTGAAGACAATGACATACGGATCCGAAGCGTGAAAAGCTGTAAAGTGGTTGTTGGCTGCAACAGCGAGAGTGGCAGTGCGCAGGATAACTGGTGTTTTCCCACTCTGATCATAGAAACACTCGGACTGTCCGACAAATGAGCGGCTTGCAGGACATTATTGTAAGCATGCGAAAAAGTAAATTCGGATGGACAGGGCGTGTCGCTCTTTTTGCCAGCAACTAGTGAATATCGCTTATCAGTGAGTGCTGCTATCACGCACTCTCGGTAAAGTGATCGCCACTCGAGCTGCTCCAAAAAATTTACATCGAACTAGCAGTGTGCAATTATTGAAAATACTCCAGAATCAAAATGCTTGGCATTGCTGCAGCCAGCTTACGAGAACGTTTCAGTAAGATAATATGGGATTTTCATACTGATTTTCAAGTGGTTTGGGATCTGCTTCTCGGTATGAACGGCAAAGGTATTTGATAGTAGTCCAAGTGTTAACACATGCCAACAAGGCAAAGCTGCCGGTGACTCTTTCAAGGGTTGCTTAGAAGCAAGCTGTTGGAATTTTTGATTCTCTTGCACGCAATTCTCAATTTATCACCGCAAGGAATGGATGAAATGGTTATTTTTAGTGCCGGAGTCGAACCGTTAACAATTAACATGACAGTAGCGCTAGTTGTCACCAAACCGAACTTCCTCATCGAAAAGATTAAGCGAGGAAAATTGACGAGGCGAGATGTTGACGTAGGCGTGCAACTCATTTATGTCAGGATAAAACTCCTTAATACTCTTTTACATTGTTAACCAGTATTTCCGAACAAGCAGCATGAATTATTAAAGGTGCTTGGGAAGGCCACAGCGATATTATTGACGCTAGCACTATATTCTCCCTTTCTATGTCCACTTTTCTAAAACTAAAAAAAAAGATTTTTTTTTTGCTATTAGAGCATGTATACACGTGTTCGTTGTCGAAGAACGAAACTAATTAGTCCTCCAAGCATCTCTTCCATTTTATCTGAAGTGCAAGCGGCAAGGCTTCCTAGCGCACATCTAGAGCTGATTACAGTTATTTGATTTTCAAAGTAAGCAAATGTTGAGGCGAAATAAGGATAATGTGCTTCTGGGCACATTATCCTTAACTCATCCTATTGTCTTCGTCTGAAATGTACGCGAGCCCAATGTGTTGCATTTTCATGGGGCGTCGGGCGGATGACGTACAGAAATAAATCGGCATCACTTTTAACTTTTGACAAATGAGACAGCTGATAGCTATTTTATTTGCGGCTGAAGTGTTTTCCAGTGTCTTTCTCCCTCAGTGACATTAAAAGAGTGCTTATCGGTCATATACTGATCCTCCACATCACCATCAATTTTTCACTCATTTAATCGACTTCTGTTGTACATCCATTGTGAGCCTTCATCCACAATATATCCGCGAATTATTTCCACCACTGCAATGCACTTAAGTGGAATAAAAAAAAGTGTTTCTGTGCCACGATGACGAGGCTGCTGCATGATGTATGTTTGCGCTAGGCTCGTTAGTTCTGTATCAACACCACAAGATTTTTTTAAAAACTCATCATCAACAAAATGCAAATATTTTTTAGTGCTTTTGTGGCACTGTGATCAGAGACCGATCGGACGCGTTTTTTCGTATCCCGAAAGTGAACCTTACAAAACGTCCAAAAAATGAGATCACAAAAGAAGCAGGAATATGCAAAGTTCGTTCACTAAAGCGCGCAAATTCTGAAGCACACCCGATGCCAGTAGATCTGAGCACTATTTAGATCCCACTATGCGTCGAATTTTTGGACTCGAGGACCGAATTCGAGCTACTTTAGAAACTTTATCAATTATCACTAGTGCTCTCTCGTGTCGTTCGTGCTACTTGCAGCATGGCTTGCAGAGCTGCATAACGATGATTAGCTCCTGTTGATCTTGGGAGAACATTCACCCCTGTCTTCATCATCCTTAAAAGGTTCATGAAAACCATAAAAGCGTTGGCGCTGCTTGCCATCTCTTTTGTGAGTTCCGTTTCGAGCGTTTCTCCCATGCTTTCCAATAATGGCTTCTTCTGAAACATGTGAAAAGCGAAGTTTCAGAATCCGGTTTTGGCATGGAGCGATATTCACAGGAAGAGGCGGCTAGGTGTCCTCAGTCGACAAACATCGTTTTCTATGCGATTTTGTGCTGCATAAGAAAGCAAAAATGCGTCAAGCCTTGTCTGTGCTCGTGTTCGTCTCACTGTTTGAAAGTAGAGTCAAACCCCGAACTATGAAATTTATGGCGCGTGTGTTTTGTAAATCAAAATTTCCAACTGTGCAAGAAATTTCAAAGCTGAAATCAATTGACATGTCAGTCGCTGACTTGACCTCAGAATGAAAACTAAAAATTTCATTTCTCTCCAAAACCGAACAGGCAAAAGGAGTTTTTAAGAATCAGAGTGTGCGGCTGTGTTCAGGAACAAAAGTCTCGGAGGAGAATTTCAAACTGCTTTGTGATTTGACGCTTGACCTCAAGTTCAAATTGTGAAAAATTTTACAGTTTAGGGAAAAAAAGGTACAGGCTCGGAATTTGGGGACAAAATTTCTGACCGAACACGAAGTCACAAATCAGAAACCAAACCACATCCTTTACTGTGACTCGATCCCTCCTGACATCAGGGTGAAAAATGCTGTTTCTTTTACCACCGAAGAATTGAACGAAGATCAAACGAAACTACAAGAGTTTAAGTTAGCCACACACTATGCGTTTGAGCCACAATGGTATTTCATATTTTGGTGGCGAGGTTAGAGCTCCGTCCACGAAAATCAACTTTCAGGTTGTTGTAAGGCAGCAATCGGCTCCAAGTTTTGTTGCTAGTTCTGGAGGATGTCAAAAAACGCATAGCTGCACCATTCCCACAATGCACGCTGCTATTCATTTTCAACTGATTTATTACTCAGAAGAAAAAAAAGCAAAAGCTTTCTTTTGGAGTCAAATTTTGTCTTTGCAGTGAACAAATCTTTCTACTGGAAATTTCTTTATTTGTCACCAGAAACATAAAGCTTCTTTCCTGTCACCCGAACATGCTATCCAGCCCCTCCGAAAAATCAATTTGTAAAAATTTAACTCCTCTGTAAAGTGATTCCGTATTGCTGCTGACTTTTTTGCTGACAAATGCGTTTCTAAAAGGTGCGACTCAAACCGTCCTCAATCCACATCAAGTGTCGTTCTCTTATAGTTTTTCTTTTTCCACTTACGAATAAGACAAAGAAAAAAAAGATGCGTTTTTGTGAGTTTTTTTTTCAAGTGCATTTGCAGAGAACAGAAGGAAAGTTCTACTAGCAAAATCTTGAAGATGACAATTATCATAAGCTTTTCCTCAAACATCTTTCTCACAAACTTGATGGTATTTTCTCTTTTTTTTTAATTTGGATTTAGTGTAACCTGCTCTACGTGTTCTCTTTTCATTTTCGTTGCAAACAAAGTGCAGTTGTTTTCCGGCATTTCTAGATATGAGGCGAGAAAGAAGGATAAAAACAAACACAATTTTCGAATAATGCATTTTTTGCAGAACAAAACCAAAACATATCTCTTGAGAACGCTGTAGTAAATTAGCTGAGCCAGCCTAAATTATTCGCTCGTCTGTCCAACCGATGTAAACCTTACACGAGTTTGCCGAAAAGCATATACTTTCCCAAATACTAAAATATGTGTTATTGCTTTGGAAAAAATCAGCATAATTCCTTTATCCAGCAGGGTTTGCGGTCTCTTCTGCAAACTCAGACGTGCATGGAAGTTGGAACCATGTTTCTGGGATAGCGCAT